GTAACAGTGAAGTAAAAAGTAGTAGTTGATTTTGGTGGTTTTTTTTTTGTTTTTTTTTGTTTTTTTGTTTTTTTTTTTCAGGTACCAGGAATCGAACTCATGAAGTTGTGCTTGCCTGGCAGACACTGCCCCTGAGCTAGATCCCCAGCCTCAAAAAGTAGTAGTTGAATGTGGATTATGTTTTGATGATAAACCCAGTGGGCTGGGGAGGCAAAAAGTAATGTCAATAGATTCCAGTGTTTTCACATATGCAGCTCAATAAATCATGATTCCAAAATTGAAATGGGAAATCTTAGAGGAGGATTTTTTCTACTAGATTTTTTTATCAGTGGATGTTCACAGTATACGATGAATATATTCATGTTGAGGAGTTGATATGTGACTACATCTCATCTTAATTCTTTTCAGTGTCCCTCTCTTATCTCTTCTGCCCCTTTCCTTCCATCCCTAGATCCCTTTTCCCATCTACAGAAGGTATTTCTGGAATGTTGTTTGAAGAAATTGAACTTTTGCTATAGACAGTAATTACTCAATGTAATTCTAAATATATCACTGTGGATATTATTGGATGTACAACTCAAACATGGAGGCTGTTACAAGAAACATAAGATTCAAAACCATGGCATGCCTTGAGCTCACTGGGAAAGGACTGTGTATATGACACCATATAAAGAAACAGGATGAAAAATGACTAATACATAACCATTGTATTGCAAATTCAACATCTAATATCATGTTAGAGCAAAGAAAAGTAATTTCACTAAGCATTGGAAGTGTAACCCATTTGTAGAGTTATATTTTTTCTAATTTAACAGGTCCCCTGTTTCATTCTCCAGCCTTGCAAAATGAATAAATAAACGAAATGATTTTTAAAAAGACATGTTTTGCCAAATCTGATATCAGTAAATGGTAGCTCAATTATGTCTGTTCAAATCTGAATATTGAAGATGCTCACAAAATGTAAAAAAGTCTTCTTAGGTTCTATAACACAAGAATGGAGAAAGTTTTCTTTTAATAAAAACTCATTTGCTACTCTAGATAATTATACTAATTTGTAAAACCAAGAAATAGAAAAGAAAGTGATTGTCAAGAATCTTTTTTACACCAGTAATTTTGTTCTTATTCAGAAAAGAGTCTTGGGACAATTACTTGAGCATTATGCACAAGAAGTAGAGATTTGGTGTGTGTCTTTATTTTCTTAGATATGAGAAACAAGATACAGAGCATCCTTATGGAAACTCACTAACGCAGATCTCAAGCAAACTATGTGCTATTATTTAAGCTGCAAAATGTGCTTTATCTAAAAATCATCTATCATTTTTTCAAGGTGAATTATATATAAGGATGCAATAATAGACACAGGAGGACCAAAATGCAAATGAGCTGGGAATTTGTAGAGATTATGGAAATTGCAGTTGCACTCAGATTGGGAAATTGAACATTTGGCTTCCATTTACCTAAAGGTTCAAGGGCTGAAGTGTATGTATTTAGTATGTAAGGTAATATGTCTGGACATGGGTGTGTGGTTGCACATATCTGTTTGTATATTTAGAGAGAGATCTTTAATTGAACAAGAAAATCAATTGGGTTTACAGAGTTTGTAGTCAGTGTTTGTTCAGATGAATCAGAGTTATATCCCTCAACCAGAGATTCATTTAGGGAAATAAAGCAAAGTCACATTTTATCCTAGACATTCAGCTGATGAATGCATATAATCTCAGGGTGATCATGTGGAATGATTTTTAAAAGTTGATTTTCCCAGTCAGGGAGGAAATGTGTTATTGAGAAAAGGCCACTCTAAAGGCTCACATAAAATATAAAGATAAATCATAACAAGGAAGCTTTACAAATTGTGCCTACCTATGGTGAAATAGAAACACTGAAATAACATGTTGGATATCTAATGTAACTAATATCTAAATTTAGTTTATTAGGTATGCTTTGTGAAGTTATGTATTACAAACCTTAGAAGCAGAACCACAATGATTTTTTTTTTCCTTATTGAACTTCGTGGTTTAAAACAAATAGTACAGATAAGTTTTGGATAAGCCTTTAGCTGAAATTAGGTAGAGTTAAAGTGGATGAGAATACTTTCAAGAGTTGACTTGAAGGTTGTGGGTTATTGTTACATTGATTAATATTGTTAAACTGAGAATACTTCTAGGGTTGAAACTTGGAGAGATTTGTTTTCACTGGATCATAAGACAGTATTTTAAAAATGAGAGATAAAATCACAAAGGAAGAGACAGGATGTTCAAAAAAAATGAATGACAGATTTCAGATGGTAAGGAAAAATGCCATGTTGAAGCTATTTAGTTCTAGAACTACTGGACGACCCAGAAAGCTTCTGGTGATGTGCAGAAGCCTGCAGAGGCACAGGAAGAAATCACATGAAACCGGAGAACCACTGGTCATCAGGTGTTCCAGAGCTTTTCCTGCTCCAAACTGCATACATCTATGCATATTCTTTCTAAGGGTAAATTGTTCAGGCATCTCTGTTGATTATTGTGAGAAATTATCTAATATATGCTTAAAAAGCACAGATGAAACTTGGAAACCAAAAAACTGTAGCGATCTTGCAAGCAACAGATCTGTAGATAAGTGATATCCTCTTAAAGTTAGTGAGCTTAAACTGGAAGGAGATCATATGAAGACTATCACAAAACAATGTTCAAACAATTTTCTACTTTTAGAAAATTTAGTAAAAAGAAAGATTTTAAATAGAATGTCTCTAGAATAAAAATAGTTTTCATCTCCTTGAAAATTGCCTAAAATCCTTCACGAGAGGCATCCCTTGAATATTTTCTAGGACATTTTTAAATGTAAGTATGCACACTTAGGTCTTGTCCTAAAATAAATTGTTTTATCAACATTTTTGTAGCTTCATAATATTAGGTTAAAAGGGAAAATTTTTCAGTTAGAATTCAGATAAAGTTTATCTACTTTATAACTTTACCAGAAAGATTGCACATCTTTTTTATTCCCAAAAGAAAAAGAGTGTAGCACGTTTATTTTATTCTTAATCATGATTTGACATTAGAACACATGTTCCTCAGTTCTTTTGGATATATCACGTATCTACAATAATTTTCACATTAACAAAAAATATTCGTGTTGTATATTTAAATGAATTTTGATTATTCCTTCATCTTTAAAAAAAAATTGTCAGCATTTCCTTTGGGTTCACTTCTTGAAGAAATCACTTGAGGAAATAAGATTCACACTTCCTTTGCACTCTTAGACTGTTACCACATATTTTAAAAGATTATTCTTTGTGTTTGCAATTCAAAAGCAGACAAGCAACTCATTTAAATATCATGCAAAGAACATAATTTCTTGATTTCTTCAGCAAAATGGCTTTAAAAGGATTCTGTCTCAAAGGTGTTCTGATAGCAAAAGGAAAATTAGCACAGTTCTCAGAATAAGTGATCAAAAGCCTTTTCTGCATCTTTTGTGCCCCCTAATGGTAGGAAAGCAAAGGAAAAAAATCTAGACATTAGTTCACATTTCTTCAATTAGGTATCCTCTATAGAAAACTTTCCCTAGTTGAGTATGTTCGATATGTTTCATACAAGTTACTAAGTGAATTAAAAGCAATAGAAGTATCAGGCATTGCTAAATTCCTGAACATTCAATTATAAGACCTGTTTTTGCTATGAGAAACAATTATTAAATGTTTAAAATTAATCCCTTTCCTTAACCTTAGAATAAAGATGAAGTTAATACAACATATACTGTATAATATAACTCAACTGTGTAGAACTCTTTGCAGATTTTTCTTTCAATTATTACTAAATAACTAATTTATTTAATTACTAAACAAATCTCAGATACCTTTAATTTTAAATATTCATAACCCTACCTGTAGTGTCTGTTCAGATCATTCCATGTATTCTGAAATACCTAATGCAAGAAAAAAGCTTTTCTCCAAAAAGCATTTTGAAAAATGTTCTTCTGAGAATCCAGACAAAGACTGAATATCACTGTAATTTATGAAAATCGAGAGGACTCTGTCTTAGGTAGTTGCCTTCGATGAATGGCAGCTATATAAGATTTTTTCTTTCTTTCTGAATGTGCGTTCTCAGTTTTATGGCAAAAATGAATACCCCAGGGAAGGAAATTTGATACAATGGTGAAAAACAGGGAATTATGAGAATTGGTTGCAGCATCAGGAATGAATTCAGAATGAATCAAGCAGTGCAGACAGAAAGAGTCAAACATCACGGGAGGAAAACTTCATTACTGCAACTAGACACATTTTCCACTCCTAGCACATAATTTATAGCAGCATTCCACAAACATGATTTTTACGACATTCAACCAAAAGTTACCATGTACAATTCAGTCTTTCTGTCAGATACATTTAATAAAAACTTTTAAATGCATCAGGAAATAATATTACAGTTTTTTGGAGCCACTAGTCATTCTTCTTCATTGCTTCTCTTTTATTTTTCTAAATTATTTTGCTTAATCCTTATTTTATCACACATTCTCTGTCTCTATGTTCTTTATTTTATCATGTACTATTTAAAACATATATTAGTTCTGAAATCACAAAACACTTACTCAGAAGTTTAGATTACCAGAAATATACTCTAAATCCAAAACCTTCCTTGATTAAGGAGCCAGGAATTGAATGTACATAGTCTGCAGATTTTCCTAAATATTATAAAAAGATCTGACTTTTTACAAAGTGGGAATGACTAATTCTTAGAGTGGGGACTTTAGAGAAAACGAGGAAAGAATGGCACCGAGGGTTCTTTTCCAGTTCATGGCAGTACGTGTGGATGACTCCTTCTGTGCGTCAGAAATCTGGAGCAACAGCAGCAATTAGGGAAGATCGTCACATCCACTAAAGGTTCAGGAGTGTGTGGGGGGGTAAGGGACAAAGGAAATGGGGAGGAGGAAGGTGAGAGAGAAGGGAGGGTAAAGCAGGGCACATCCTGCAAACATAATCCCTATACACTCATGACATCATCCTCTCTAACATACATATACAGGGGATGGCCACAGCAACCCTCACAGTTCACTCACATTCAAAGCCAGCTGAAGGGAAGGGAACGCTCTAAGGAGAGCCCCCTTCAGCGTCTTTCTGGCTTTCGTGGACTTGGGTGGTGGAAGGCTGAAGGATATGATGGCAGGAATGAATATCCAGCTGCTGTGCATGCTACTGCTGGCTCTCAGCTCCTGGGGTCTGTGCTCAGGTAAGCTAAGCTGCAATTCACTACTCCCTAGAGTGATTTCTTTTGCAGTGAGCTGCTACTTCAGTTAATGAATCCAAGAGAAGAGTTTTCTCCACTTACTCAGAATTGGCTTTATTTATAGTAATAGAAACTGTGAATTTGTCGTGCTCTGTGTTTATAAGAACTGAAAGGTTTATTTTCCCTTTTTTAAATCTGCAAAGTAACAGAAGGGATTTCAGTGAAATACTGCATGCCCTCTTTGCAATAGAGAAGGTAGAGAAAGGGAAACAAATATAAAAGTTTGATTTAAGCTGGTCATTGTTAGGGGCTGTGCCTGTGAAAAATGGAAATTTATTGTTAAAATTCACTCTGTTTAAAATGCTTTCCTCTCACCCTCATTCTCTTAGGAAGCTGTGGCTTGTTTTTTTTCCCATTTGTATAATTGTCCTAAAATTATTTTTATCTCTATATGCTAGACTATATACAGTAAAAATTGATGAATAAGTGAATGAAATATTTATAAAATCATTCCTAGAAACATATAAAATGTTCCTAATCTTTTTCAAAAAAGTATAGTCTATAGTCTGTGTGACAGGCATGATATTTATATTATTATTTGCATATTTTTTCATGTCATACAAGTTGATATAAAATGTAATTGGAAAATTTGTATTTTTATATTACTGGAAATATTTAACTTTAGAGTGTTTTGTACATGATAGTTAAAGAGAAACACTAATATCTGTCAATGATCTACCTAGAAAATAATACTTAAATTTAAAGAAGTAATATGAAATATTATAATGACTTCAATATGCTCAATTGATATTTGAAAAATAATTAGATAAAGTAGAAAATGGGATAAATGCAGCAAAAATCATTAATCCTGTTTTATACTTTCATTTCTCATAAATATGACACCGAATTGTTGAATTAAAACTCGATATTTATTTTAAGTACGAAATTAAAATCTAACAGAACATACACATGTGACTTATGTAAAAACATGTTTTTATTGGAAAAAGCCTTGAATTTCTAATTTTACAAATCTGTAGTAAAAAAACTACTAACTTCCCTACAATTATGAATTCATCCAATAGCAGAGATTAAAGTTTTGCTCAGAAGTATGAGATAGCAGGTTGTTAATGAAACACTGTACATATTTGCTCCTGATATTATCTGCTGTGATAAGCCCAAAATATTTGAAGAATTTGGTGTAATTTGTTCAAAAATGACTAATTGAATTTGTTATTTCTTTGGAAAAATGTTATATCTCTAATACATAGAGTGAAAATGATACACACTGTAATTTATTTTCCAGATGCAACTCATAAATGATGTCTCCGTATATACTTCTTTTTAATAAGAATATCTAATAAAAGGAGGATAGAGCAACTTTTAACTTTTGCCTTGTCACAATTTGATCAGTGAATATGAACCAAGTCACCTCATTACAGTGTTCTACAACTTTATTACTTTGTAGTATTTTCTAAATTTTTATTCTCTGTTAAATGTTCACTAGTAGAAACTTGGAAACACTTTTCTAAAAATTTCAGAGATCCATTGTCAATACAACGTTGCATGTGTTGATGGGCAGCTTCATTTGGCTTAAACAATTTCTTTATCTCCCTGTGATGAAGTTGCAGTGTATCCACAATCCAAAATTCTTGTTTAAAGTAGAAAGCAATTATTTGAAAAGTGTTTTGTAAAACAGCATCTCTAGTGAAATAAATTTCTGAATCTTTCTTTATTCTAAAATTATCAATATGAAATTACCTTTGACTTTGTGTTTAAAAAGTCTGTTGTATTCATATTTTCATTGTGTTCTTTATCAAGTATCAGTATGGAAATAACATAAATTATTGCTGGTAAAAATAACTATAGCAATGTCAATACATTCAAATATTTTTTTCTGAAATTCAGACAGTGAACAACTCCATATCATAAGTTGTCCTCTTAGCAAATAGCCATGTCCTAATGTTGAGAAGTACTTCTTGCATCCTACCTGTCTGTCAGCCTAAAATTACATTATGCAAAACTCTGTGGCTAATTTTTTAAATGAATTTAAAACCTTTAGGTTACAATATAATTACAAGATGTGTGATTATATAGTGAACATGTGGTTTTGATTTTATTCAGATTCTGAAGAGGAAATGAAAGCATTAGAGGCAGATTTATTGACAAATATGCATACATCAAAGGTAATTATTTTCTTTTCTTGAACTCACTGTTGGAGGATATATGAGCTTTATTATATATAGGGTGTTCTTTTCTTATTATAATGATTTGCCATCAACATAGAAAACTCCCTTGTGAGGCATTTCCTCTGTTTGAGAAAATTCTTTGAGTTTTAAGAAGCTGAGAGTATTGACATGACAGGAAAAGAAATTACACTGAGTATCAATCAGCATGTCTAATTTCAATTAAGAAGTCACATATAACTTAGGTGGACCTCAAGATATATTTAAAGGGACTGTTTTCATCTTTAATAGATTATATGTGATGAAAGGTATATTGGCCTCAAGTTAAATACCTGAATGAAATTTAAGTGAACTTTTTGCTTCTTTTTATTATACTCTGGGAAAAATAGGTTTTTCCTATTAAAAATGACTGTTCATGACGACCTGTGAAGGAAATGTGCTAGGGAGGAGAGAACATTAAACTAGAAAATAGCAGTGTTGAGATCAGATCCTGAAGCTGTTATTAATGAACTATTTGATCTTATGCAGTTGGGGTAGTTAACATGACTTAACTTTGTTTCTTTATATTTCAATGCAATGATTACGGCTTATGATGTCAGAGAAATTTATAATGTTCTATAATGTACTTAAAAGTTACAAACTGTGCTCTTTAACAGAAGTGTCAGCTGTGCCTGCTAATTGTTTCACTGAAGCAAGTAAACTTTGTACCCTGAGCCCCATCCACCTTTTCCTGGGATTGTGACAGCAAGTTTCCTATTTCTCAACCTTTACCTGCAAATAAATCTCAATTAGAATATGTCTGTTTACTATGCTACCATATAATGTAGAATGACTCATAATTATTCAATAATGTGCATCGAAGGGTGTGACCAGGACATAGGTTTCCAATCAAAAGATATCTCTCAAAAAAAAAAAAAAATACTTAGGTGTGACAAACACTTGGTGGAATCATGGTCATAGCAGTATTGTACCAAAATTGAAGACTCAGTGGATGTTATGGTAGGGAATTAAGTGGTGATTCCTTTCTACACTCTGAAGCAATATGTATTCTGAGTCTATTTCTGCCTTCTGGTTTTCTTTCCTACTTGGATGGATGTTTTAGGAACAACTGTCTCTAATGTACAAGGAAGACCATGTTATGTTTGATAGTGGATGTAAAAAAAGCCTATTTTTTGTGTGTTTGAGAGTAAAAGTATTATTATCTCAAAAATGACAGCTATGATTTTTGCTGTTTTTCTTAAAAAATAGTTTGAGAGAATTTAAGCACATCTATATCTCAAGGTGGCCCAGGTCCACAAAAATTGATTGTATTGTAACAAAATGCTACCATTATTTGGTAGACCTTATATCAGAAACAATGAAATTGAGTTTAGTCATCAAAAGTTAAATTTATCTGTCACATGATAAGAGATAGTTCCCTGCGTGACTACAGTCTCTTAAACTCAAAATGAAGCTCTGTTGGAAAATAAATTACATTGGAAGAACTTGGTGTCTTGATGCATATATTTTATTTCTGTACTTCCAAATGTACTTTGATACAAAAGGACCTAAACAGTCTTCAAATATAATACAGTTTGTGGATACTAACTATCTTGAGAACATGTGAGAGTGAAGTTGGAGAACCTTCCTGGTGAAGAAACTGCAAAGAAAAAATAATTCCAGTATGGGATGATTTCAGTTTATTCTTTAGGAGAAACGCATTGCAAAAGTTTAGGCAGGTTTTATTTTTTCTATGTTATTCAGTCCTGGATGTGTCTCTAACACAGGTTAGGAGGAAAAAGATTTGAATCTGCATGCTTCTTTTTAAATGAGAAAAATAAGATGCCATCTATGATAAGTAGGTACTTAGAATGAGAATTACTCTATTTCATTTTACATTTATTTTTGAATGAATGATTCTGTAATTTTTCAGCTCATATGTAAAGTTTATGCTTGTAAAACTTTAAAAATACTTAAAATACTTAAATTCTCACTATTTTTTAGAGAGTTCTATCTGTACATATGATATTGATGGACATTTTCTGACAGCTTTTCCTATATAACTTGCTTTTAAGTCTAGTTCAGGGTATTATAAATAAATAATACCCATACATTTGAATGAAATACCCATCTATATGTCTAAAATATATATTTTCTGTATAAAGTATACATTTTCTGTATGAAGTACATATTTTCTAGTATACACATCTGCCTAGTGATCTTCCAGGTTAATAAAAAATAGTGCTATATATTTTCACAAGAATTTTATTTTCTTCATAGTTAACCCATGTCAGTATTGTTTCAGTGTAATACATCAAGGAAGTTTATAATCAAGTTTTAAGTTCAGATTTCTCCTGAGCTTACTGTCCCAAAGTATTTGAAATACAGCTTTTGCTGTATGTTACACATCCACATGTTCTTGGATCAATTTTTAAATGTTGTATTGTTTTGTATTCTGTTGTGTTTTATGTTCATTGTTTTCCTCTTAATTCATCCCATCAATTGCAGCAGCTTTGAGGTGTACTTAATATCGGGTAGAATGATCCCTTCCTTAGTATATTTTAATTTTTCTAAATATTCTTGATTATTGTTCTATCTTCTTTCCAAATTAACTTTATAATTATGTTACCAAATTCTCTCTGCGACTTCCAGTCTCCTGATATTTTTAAAATTGCTATTAATTTGCAATTTCATCACAGTTTCATACCAATTCATGACAATTGTTACTTGATATTGTTGTTTTTGAGACTTCCCATGATGGCTTTTTGATCATTTATATCCTTTTTAACCTTCTTTGAGGAAAAAATTCATGTAAACTTTCTATTTTTTTATGTTTTTGTTCAATTTTGTTAATTATTTTTCTGTTAGGTTCTTCCACTCCTATTTCTTATTAATAATTGTTGACATATATAGCAAAGTTGTTTTTCATGTTAATTATGGGTCAGACAAACCTTATTAGGAAAGGAAGACAATTCCACAAAACATTTTAAATTATAAACAAATAGATTGGTCAGCTGTTATATCACTTATGACAACTATTAATATGTGAGATATTAAGTGGTCTCATTAAATGTAATTGTCTAATTTCATTAGTATAATTTTAATATCTGCTTCATTAGACACTTAACAAAAATGATAAAAGAGGTAACAGTGATTTTTGAATGTTTAGTGTTCTCATCTGACATATATATATTACATATGTAAACATTGTGATTTTGGTCTTTTTTGGTCTATGTAAGTGTGGGGACGTGTGTGTGTGTGTGTGTAGCTTTATTGCATTCTATTACAAACAGGACATATGTGTAGTTACTAAATAAATAACACTGCACTTATTATTTAAGAGTAATGATTAGACCCTGAAGTATAACAGTTTAACACAATCGAAATTTATCTTATTTCTATGATGCAAGCTTAAATTGCAATATCATTTTTTTTCTATATTTCAGATCAGTAAAGCAAGCGTTCCCTCTTGGAAAATGACCCTGCTGAATGTTTGCAGTCTGATAAATAACCTGAACAGCCAGCCTGAGGAAGTAGGAGACATCCATGAGGAGGAGCTCATTACCAGGAGGAAACTCCCCCTCGTTTTAGATGGCTTTAGCTTGGAAGCGATGCTGACAATATACCAGCTGCAGAAAATCTGTCACAGCAGGGCCTTCCAACGCTGGGAGGTAAATCAAATCCAAAATACAACTATGACTGCAGTCATACTAGGCACTTTCACTTGTAGTGGTTTTTGTATTATAATTATATGATAATTGGAGGCACACAAACATTAAAAAGAATAAACTGTGTTGGGGCAACATTCTTTCATATATTCATAGGATCCTTCTCAAATATTTGGAAGTTAGCAAAATAGTTTCTCTCTAGGCTTAGAAATGAGGTCTATCATAAGACAGATTCGATCCCTATGTTTTGTGTGCTAAAGTGAGGCCATACTTAGGCCACTTCGTTGTTGATGGTAGTACTGGTGGCATGTCTAAGAAATTTAAGGAATGTAACATGTTTTCCTAAAAGCAGAGCTATGTGTGTTTATCTGTAAGCAAACACAGAGCACAAAGGTTTCCAAACAAAACAGTAACAAAATACAAAAGTTTCAATTTGGGTTTGAATATATTAACAAATAAAGGCATATGTATTTATTTCTATAAAAATATAAAATATGAGAATATAGCATCATTCCAATTTTATTTACAACTTACAGATTTGCACATATATAGAGATTTTAATATATCTGGTAAATAAAAATATTTTTATAATTTATACAAGATATCTATCACTATCATTCTTGTTTTATTTGGGGCCCTTTTGCTCTGTGTTTCTTTATATATAAACAAACCTGATTGATTGTGTCAGGCTATTTTCCTATTTTAGTGGGGTGTGTATATTTCAGGTATTCTTAGTAATTAAATTAGGTCCATTGCAAGATAGCTGAATTCTTCAGTACAGAAATACAATGCCCTGGATGAATCCTTTATATGAAATAATATCTTGATGACTTTCTGCCTTTGGTTTGAAAATGATTTTGGATTTTTCAGAAATTAAATTTATTGGTATATTTTAGATATACATAATGATAACATTCATCATATGGGATTTACACCTGTAAATGGATGCATCGTGATTTTTTCTCCTTTCTCTTCTCTCCCTTCAGCTATTTTTCTCTCCTTTAGAAAAGCTTTTCTTATTTTTTCCTATTTTCTTCCTTCCCTTTTCCCTTTCTTCCTTTGGAATATTTAAAATAATTGAATAATGAAATTTGACTTGTGATAGCACATTTATGAATAAACTTAATAATGAAGTGATCAAAACATTCCAACCCTAGCCAGTTGGTCATCTGTAGCCATCAAAGGCATATTTATCTATAATCCCATGTGGCTGTCAATCATGTGTTCTGAATCAGATGTTTTCTACAGTTTTCCATTTTGGATACACAATTTAAATGCTGTTGTATAAAATATTATCTCTTACGTATATCCAAAGTTATGTTCAGTTCCCCAAATACTACCTATAACTTGACTCTCTTCTCCCTACTGAAGAAATAGGAAAGCATAAACTTAATAAAGGAATAAATTTAATATACACCTCCTTTTAAAAGAAAAGATTCCAAAATTTAGTAATGTAACAATTATTAGAAATAATGTACTTGAAAAATTCTTATAATTGAGATATTGCCTTTAGTGTTCTGTGTTGCTCTAAAAGATAATTTACAACTTTGGAAAAATATGATAGCATTTTCAGGCTAAAGAAGGGAAGATGGGGCTGGGGATTTAGCTCAATGGCAAAAGCGCCTGCCTGGCAAGTGCAAGGTCGTGAGTTCGGTTCCCGGTACCGGAGAAAAACCAAAAAAAAAAAAAAACCAAAAGAAGGGAAGATAAGAGAAAACAGTGCTTCCAAAAAGAAAAACAAAAAATATTTTAAAATTTTCCCAACAGAGAAAACGTTCATTTTCAGATAAATTACCAAGCAAAATTTGCTTCATGTTATGCATTGAGTTGCCTATGTCTTTAAAGACCTGAGGGTCCCTCCCACTAATGTAACAAAGTTCTAACTGCCCCAATGCTGTCCTGTACAAGAGAGGAAATGCATGCAGAATGTCTAGTATTTATTCTAAGGAGTTAATGAAAAGGTGCTTTCCACATGAAAAATCAAAAAGACTAGTTTTAATTTTGCTTGCTGTACTGCTCATCCTTTAATTTTAATTCCAGCTAAAAGGCTTACTTTTTAAAATATTATTTAGGTCAATAAACCTTGAAAATACAATCTTAATTTAGGGAAATGTCAAGCCAAAAACCTCTCAATAAACTATTATGCAGATAAATCAAGTCCACATAAGATTGGAATTTTTGCTGTTTTAAATGTTATTCAGTGATTTAAAAATAAAATAATAATATCGTGCTAAGCATAGTACAAGTAATTACAGACTATGCACAGAGAAAGTAAAGATTAAGAAACTAGATTGTCTGACAGTAGCTTGTTTTCCTTCTCTGAAATTGAATAGCTGTGGGTTGAAATGAAATACTTGGTGATAGATGTTATACATCTGCATTATAATTTAAGTGTCAGTATTAGTTATAGTGACCCCAAAGTTTAGAAGATAATCATAATTTAAGGAGCTCTTAGCCATTTAAGTAGAGCTTTCACATATGTGGCTCTCTACAACAGCTAAATTAGGCAAAGCCACGCATTCCTCTCTCTGATTGAAAAATGGGTGTTTGGGGCTCTCAAGTCAGATCTGTAATTGACTTAATTGAACATAAAATCGTGTTAACTTTTCAGCCAAATTTGGTTTATCAGATACAAAAAATATATCTTTGATGTGACATCTATTTCATTACATTTTGGCCTTCCTATGATAAGTCAAGCATCAACTACATTGAGTTTTTAAAGTTGTTTATCGGCACAATTTAGATACATATAATGATCACATTCATTATAGGGAATTTGTACCTGTACATGAGATGCCTTGATTTCTCTTTTTTCTCTGTCCCCTCCCTCAGATTTTTTTGATGTGTTCTGTCAATTGAAGAGATTAGTATTAGGCTTCAAAGCACCCTAAAGTGTTTTAACTTTAGGATAGTCCTACCCTTATGAATTAGGAAGGGCACTGAGTCAGAAGGATCAGGTTCGATTCCATCTCAGCCATTTGATACCTATCTGTCCTTTCACAATACCATTTCTTAGATTGTACATGTGCTTTGCTGTCTCAGTAACAAATAAGATAACATGTACAAAATGTCTAACGTGCTGAATTTTATGCATGGGATCTTCATGTTCACTCTATCTTGCAGGCAATTCAGGAAGATATTCTTGAGAATGGAAATGAGAAAAATGAAAAGGAAGAAGTCATAAAGAGAAAAATCCCCTACATTCTGAAAAGGCAGCTGTATGAGAATAAATCCAGAAGGCCTTATATACTCAAGAGAAGCTCTTACTATTACTAAGAAGACAAATATTTTATTTGTGCGTGGTAGTGATTGATCGTTCTTTAAATATCTAATTATATTTGTGTGAAAATGTGACAACATGTTTATTTTGTCCGTTCTATGACTGTAGTTTACTGGGTGTGTTTTTATTCTAGATTAATATAAACTGGACCAAATGTTTTCAAATAAAACTAGATCTTGAGCATGATGTGTTAAATATAATTGGAATTGATATTAATCACGCTACATATAAAATATTTTGTGATTTTGCAAAACAAGTTATAAGTTATTTAAACATTCAAAATGTATGACATTTTACATGGAATTATAAGAGATTATAACAACATTTGACAGCAAATTTTAACCTACATATCATTAGCCAAAATTAATGACAACTTTTACTATTTGATTGTTTTATTATACTGAGAGAAATACATACTCTTTTCCAACACTTACTTATATATCTCTCAGATTAACAAAAGCTACTGTGGCAAAATAGGACTACCTGAATAAATGATTACTGAGCTATTGTTAATTATGCTATTTTAGTGAATGAGCTTCAAGTGAATGTTTTGTCTGTTAAATGAGTTTGGTAGCTAATAAAAAGACAACCAGCCATCAGAATCATATGCTTCTGTGCATATTTACTTCCTTTAGAAGAGTTAGTGTGTAATGCTCCTGACAAACCAAAGTGAGCAGTTGTTATAGGCAGCAAGACATATTTATCCTGGATATAGTAGCTTTATTTTTAGTATCAGTAAAGTATCAGTGTGATCAATATTTTTCCTGATTAAGGTGGTATATTTGAAGCTAAAGCTGTTCTTCAAACACAGGGATTTAAGAACACAGGGAGTTTAAAAACTTTAAAAGCGTTTAAAAACAAACCCTTTTAAATTTCTTTTATCATAATTAAGGTCTCATAGCCCTTACAGCCTTTACATCTTAGCATTAGTGGGGACTTTTTTGATTCTGTCTATTATGGCGTGAGGGGACTCTGTCTGGGAAGATCTCACCTCACAAGACTACAATCAAGTCCTTCATCATCTCTGAAGATTGAAATCAGAGTTTGAGTTGCTAGGGAACCTTTAGAACTCCAAACATTTTGATAAGCTTATCCTTATTGTATGTTTGATTCTACTTCCCATATGGTTTAAAAGTAGCTCACAGATCTCTTGAGTTTTACCTGTGAAACCCTGACTTCTCAGTAGCACCATTTCACCCACTGTTGATATATCATCAGCCTCAACCAGCTTGTAACTAGCAAATTTGGCCAATTTATTTAACCCCTCTGTTTCTGGCCTATAAAATGTGGATAACAATAAGATTTGAAAGAAGACAAATTGGACTGATAGACAAATCTATATAATTCCTACCTTGGATCTGAGACACACAACACACCGCATTGAACAGTTATTATTAATATCAGTAGTCCCTTCTGTGAAGAAATAGCTATCATATGGTATGCCTCCCCCTATACTTCATTAGCCAACACAAGCTCCACACCCCTAGGTCATACATTGTCGCCAATATGCTAATAATTCAACGTCCATCTTCTAGCCCCTTAAACAGGTGCATTAGTTTGCTCTGAACTCATGGTTGCTGTTTCCCTAGTAACTTTTTCAGCTCTTAATTGATGTCTTCTGTCCTCCCCAACATGGAATCTGGAAACAATGTACATGTTCTAATCATTTCCATACCAATTTTTTCCCCTTTAAAAAAAACCTACAGATTATTTGAAGCAATGAGCATAAGATAATTTACTTTCACCCCATTTTTTCATAAATAATTCAATGTACTGTGTTTTGAACAACTGTTCTTCCTACTTATTTCATTTATTAACCATGAGGACATGCACATACAGAATTCAAAATCTATTCTGGAATAGAATCTATTCAGGAATCTATTCAGGAATGTTCCAAAATCTATTCAGGAATGTTCCTTCTCAGTTCCTGAATATCATCCCTTCAATAATAAATAATGATTAATTTCATCTCAGCCATTAACTTCCATGGTCATACTATAAACTTGTCACTATTAATAAAGGTGATAAAATTAATCCTTCCAAAATCTATTTAAAGCACTCTATTTGCTAAACATCTTCTTTGCTTTTCATTTTAAATAATCTATTCCACTCTGCCATTCATGGTCCAGTCTAATTCATTGAAGTTCTTTACCTTCAGCCATCTCTACATTATCTTCTTTACGTGGTGTGGATTCTACAGTCCAAAAGTGAAATCACTCTTTTGTTACCTTCAAATCCCTGTCTTATCTCATAGGTACACCTGAATACACAATTGATGAATCTCAAATTTTCCCTGATTCTGACCTCATCTGAGAAATTTAATACATCTGGAGAAAAGAACCCAGTCTTACTGAGATAACATTTAAAAATTTTGACCACAGTTTTTTTTTTTTTTCTTTCAATACTAGGGAAGCAAGACCTTTGCACTAAGTTACAAACCTAAACTCACTTATTTTCTTTCTTTCTTTTCTTTCTTTCTTTCTTTCTTTCTTTCTTTCTTTCTTTCTTTCTTTCTTTCTTTCTTTCTTT